GGCCTCTTGATAGCCCAGTGCAAGAAAGCTAGCCTAGCCCGATTCTAACCCCCAACCTAAGTCCATCACTGGTAAATTTTTGGAAAAGGCTATTTAATTGGTACGGTGATTTTTGATAAAATTGAAAGTTAGAACACTAAAAATTGAATATTGAATACTAAATTTTTTAATTTGTAGACTGTTTGGTATCAATTAAAATTTAAATATTAAATTGAATCAAACTATTTGACAAATATAAAAAATTGAAATCTAAAAATTATTATTATTCTAATTGTACCCTTCTTTTTAACCATCTTTCTACAACTGTCTTATTCCTACCACCATCATCACAATAAATNAATATAAAAAATTAAAGTTTAAAAATTATTATTATTCTAATTGTACCCTTCTTTTTAACCATCTTTTTACAACTGTCTTATTCCTACCACCGTCATCACAATAAGTGTGTTAGTAATGGTAGTAGTGTTGGTGGTGGTGATGGTAGCGACGACACAATGGTGATGGTGATAGCATAACGATGGTGGTAGTGGCAGCACAATAGTTGCAGTGACAGTGGCATAATAGTGGTGGTGGTGGTAATGATGGATGGTGGGTATTAAAAGGTTAAGAGTATAAAATGCATTGAGAGTATATTTATCTATTATAAAAAATTGATAAAATTGTTACTACTTATTACTTAAAATTTTATCTTATTTATAAGAAGTGCTTAAAATATTAAGTGATATGAATTTTAGGTTATCAAACAAATTTAATTCATTAAATACTTAACATATTCGGTTTTAAATTTGAAGTGAGGTTATAAAACAGTTCCAGTGAGGTTATCTTTTGATAGCACAATTCAATGGCGGGCCAGACTGTTTGTTGGTGGATTGGGCTGGCCCGGCCCAATTTCAACCCTTGCTAAAGTCCCATCCCAAGAAAAAAGAGATCCAAGTTGTAAAGAAAGCATGCCCATAACTCTCTCTCTCTCTCTCTCACACACACACGCTTTTGTTAAAGTCAAAAGTCAAACAAAGCATCACCGCCTCGTTAGACCAAACTGGTCATTGCTTACACAATTTCTAATCTAAAGCTTGACATTTGTATTGCACTCCCAGTCAAAGTCGCAAGTTATGAAGACATTCTGGAATTGGTTGATTTGTAGTATATTATTACTTCGCATGTTGTGTCTTTTTGTGTGTTAATTTTCCTTAAATTTTTTTAAAACTAAAATTATCCCAGATATTATTTTGACTACCCACCTTTATTTAAATATAGGAGATATATAATTATCAATGAATGTGGGTCATAGAGCAATAATAAAATTATTTTCATTGTGACTTAATCTTTAAGTATTCGGGTTACAAAAATAATATTTTTCGTATACAAAGATGGGTTTGTCTATACCTGACCGACTTTATAACGAGATAACTTATCCTTTCTTTTCATCCCCATTACTTAATTTATAGTTAACTCATGTGTAAAGGCGCGGTACAAATATAAATAATTTTAAGAGAGATTTTGATGACTATTAGATGAATCTATTTGAAACAGTCAGATGAGTTTAATGAAATCTACCATGTTTTATATTATAAATTATGGATAACTCGCGTCAAAAGATACAGTACAATGTGAACAGTTTTGAAAGAGAGAGATTGTTGGTGCCCGTTTGATGAATTTATTTAAAATCGTCGGATGGATTCATTCAAATAAAACATGACAAACTTTAATAAATTCATCCAATAGTTTCAAATAGACTCATTCAACAACCACTAATATTCTTCTTAAAATTATTCACATTATACTGTATCTTTAGACACATATTACTCATTATATATATAATAAATTATAAATTTTGATTAAATTCAAATTTCATATCACTAATTAAAACGTGTATTTAAAATGTACGAATTTATATTATTGTCCTATGCCTGTGTGCCAATTACCATAACGTACATCAAGGCTACCCACGAGGTTAATCGGACACTGTCGTTACGGCAATGTTAGGTGTTGGGNCCTGTGTGCCAATTACCATAACGTACATCAAGGCTACCCACTAGGTTAATCGGTCACTCTCGTTACGGCAACGTTAGGTGTTGGGTTTTCTAGGTAGTTTCGTAGCCATGGCCATGTTAGCATAGCCAAAAGTTAGACTAAGACTAAGACTAGACTCTAAAGAGTGTTAAAGCAAATCCACCCCACCCAAACGTCAAAAAAAAAAAAAAAAAAAACATGATTGGGACCTTTTTTGCACCGTTGTATGCATTGACCCTTTCAACTACTATGGATTATAATTTCATCCCATCACTAAAAAGATTTTTTTTTTTTTTTTAGACAAATCGTAGAATTTATTATTAAGGAATATCCGATAAAAGAAGGGTCATTACAAAATTTAATGTTTATTCCTTCTATACATCACAAATTCTTATAAAATTAGAATGTCTAGCTAACTGATGTATTTATTTTATTAGCAGTCCTACTAATTAATATTACTTTGAAAAGACGAAATTTCAGTAACTTCTTCCTAATATCCTCCGGTACAACAGCTAAGAAAATAGAGTCTTCACCTGGATCATTAGTCTGTATAATTACTACCACTGAATCACCTTCAAGGATAATTTACTCATAAACCTTGTTCATAGGCTAACTTAACAGTCTCCCTAGCAGTAAGAGTTTCTGCATACATCGCATCCCCGACATGCATAAAAAAGAATTTAGTAGAAGTTGAATTTAAAGACAAACAGTACATTTTGGTTTTGTTAGTAACTTGGACAACATTAAACTGGAACTAGGTTTGATTACAAATCATGTCTAGTTAGTTGTGTACCATGCATGACTAGCTGGGTTTGTATCAATTTATTTACAATATCGATAAGACCAACTAATCCTGATTCATCAATAAGATTTAGAATTTTGAAATCTATCCTTAAAAAACTATTATCCATCTTAAAAGACTTGTATCAATCCATAATCTTTCAGGTCGATCCTAAGTTAACTCTAGTACGTCTTAATTGGTGTATTTGAAAACTTGATTTTACTATATTACAGTTTTTGTTACGATATTAAAGTGTGTGAACTGTGTAAAATTTCAAGTTTAGCGTAAACTTAGATTCTTAGTTTATGTCTAAGAAATGACCACCCTAAAATTGTTTTTGGAATGCCTATAACACCAACTACATCTTAAACTACTTGTTATTGATATTCTGGCTTACTTTTTCTTTTCTAATTTTTTATAATCTTTTTTAATGAAGATGTAATGGTTTTGAATTTTTTTTTTCATTATACGGGAAAATCCTAAGATTTGTCCTCAGTGAGTAGAGACGCACTTATATCACTCAGGCTCGTGACTCTGAGTAGAACTAAGGGCAAAGTTCGGGTGTATGAACAGGTCCTAAACTCATACACCAATTAAGTCAAGATTTGCACTTCGCCGCAGATTCAAGATCCACACCAGAGACTTGAATACGATTCGTCTAAGCAACTGAAGCATTCTCCTATCAAGGAGCCATGCTTTTGCGCCCAGGGTTGTCAGAGGCTCTGGTCAACTAAGCTACCCCAATTGGTTAAATGCCATGGTTTTGAACTAATTTACTAAAATATCATATTTTTGTAGAAATCACGTTTTTAAAACAATGCTTTACATTAAAAGTATGTTTCTGAAAACATGTTTTTAATGTAACAAAATGTTAGAATTATGTTCCCAAAATCTGTTTGTTGTTTAACAGAAAGCACGACTTCAGTTGGATAAATAAATTTGAAATTAATATATTTTTGAATGAAAATTTATATAAAAAAAATTATGAATATTCCCTTTCTTCTTAAACAAAAAACTAGAGTAAAGAACACAAAAATTCTTTAAACGAGGATCTATGTGTCAATTAAATTATTGAACTAATTTTTATGTCAATTGAATCTCTAAACTCGAAAATTTTAGTACTTAAGCCCCTAAACTAATTTTTGTGTTAATTAAGCCACTAAACTCTAAAAGTTTAGCGACGAAGCCCTTCTGCTAACAACTGTTAGATTTTTTGACAGAATGTTTCACGTGCTCACCACATGGACAATATATTAATATTTTTTTAAAATTGATCGTTCGAAATCTATTTGACGAAAAATCTCATTTTGTATATTCCTAACCTAAAACCTAAACGTTTTCATACCTATCAAACGAAGCAGATCAGTAAATTATTCGAAAAGCTTACATTTATTTAATCTATTTTCTATAGCAGATTGAAGAGTTTGTTGATCTCTTTCATTTGATGCGAATGATAGGTATAAAAAATGAGATTTTTCATCTATTAGGTTTCGAACGAACAATTTAAAATAATTCACGGTTGTTGACATAAGGGTTTAATTGTTAAAATTTTAGAATTTAGGGGAACAATTAATATAAAAATTAGTTTATGGACTTAATTACTAAAATTTTCGAGTGTGGAGACTTAAATTAAAATGAAATTTAGTTTAAAAACTTAATTAATATAAAATAATAATTTAAGGACCGTTTACTCAAAACAAACATGGCAAGATTCCACCCGGAGAGTGGAGACTTCATTATCATCCTGATGGATTGTTGAGGGACTGTAGGAACAGAGCCCGTCACTTTCTCTCTCTGCAACTTTCCGTTAGTCGCTGTGGAGTCAGGTGGGTGTGTTCATACGGAGAAAGTCAAAACTCCATTGTGGTTTCTTTCTTTCTGCAGTGGTGTTTGGTCGTGTAGTGGGAAAATATTAAATCAATACTTTATTCTCAAACAAATTTAAAATTCATCCCGACTTTTTTCCTTTCCTTCTCTCTCTTGGGCCGTTGAGCTACATTTAATGTGGGTTTTGGGTCCAGATGTGAGAGAGAGAGAGAGAGAGAGAGAGAGAGCGAGAAAAGGGTGAAGAGGTACATGGCGCTGGTGGGTCAGACACTTTTCGTTCTGATCTGCTTCTTCGCTGAAAGTTCTCTGAATTTTCCTGGATACATATAAAATTCATCTCCGTCTTCGCAGAATTGCTTTGTCTCAGGTTTGGATCTTTGATCTTAGTTATTACCTTCAAATTTTGACAAGATCTTTATTTCTCTTTCTCTACTGGTGAAATGAGTAGGAGATCCTGTATTTTCTGGGACTTTTCTTTTTTCGAAAAATATTGAACGTTTTCAAAACAATAAAACCTCGAGTGGATTGGGGGGAGTTCACTGTTCTTGTTTCCGTGTTATAAATACCAATTTTTGGGGGGAGAGAGAGAGAGTTTAGTAAAGTTACACCATTGGGGATGAAAAAGATAGAAACCTTCTGACGAGTTTGTGCCCACACGATTCTTGCAGATATGGAGAAGCTATGAAGGTTTGATCAGCTTATATCTTTCTAGCAGGTAATCTTCTTAGGCCTTTTTTTTTCCCTAGCGTCAAAACGTTTGGTTCCTTTATATGATTGTGATGAAATATTATGATAGATTGCAATTATCTTCATACGGAGACATTTGTTGAATAATGATAGATCTTGTAAAGACTACAAGACCCACAATTGAAGAGCTCCATTGAACTCTGCTCCAATGTTTTTTCAAGTTTTGCACTTGGGCCCGCTTAGTGGATTTGTTATTAAAAGTGGGTTGAATTTTATTGGAAATTGGTTTTGTATATATTTTCGTATAATTTTTGGTGTGAAATGGCTCTCCCTTTGTAATACTTCTTTTGGTGTCTTGATGGAGTAATGTTGTGGCCTCTCTTAGGTTAACTTTTGGCATGGCTGAGAGTTCTAGGTGGAAATTGCTGAATTTGTCCATCCCTGGGTTGAATTTTGTTTTTGTGTTCTGCAGAGTAGTAGCTATATCAAGATTTCTTCTGGGAGTGGGACTACAGTGACCTAGTGTACTGTGGGCTTGAAAGTCGGTTTAAATAACTAGAAAAGTTGGATCTGATAAAAGTTCTATATTTTTTTTCTGCTTTAAGTCCATGTGAAGCTGTCTTTTTCTACCATCTCTTTGCTTTTTGTTTTTTGTTTTGTTTTCTCTTTGGTTGCCTTTTCCCTTTTTCCTTTGCTCCCTTTTCCTTTATTCTTCACTTGTTATCTTTGTCTCGGGGACCTGATTTAACTTTGTTCCTTTGCAGCTATATCCACATGTCAAGTGGACTATAATTATTCAGAATATATTTGTTGAGAAAAAGAGTTCCTCAGAAAGAGAGATATTTTTCTCCTTGTTTTAATTCCCTCCTATTTGTTTTGGGGATTAAATGTCGTTCCGCAACATAGTTCGTGATGTAAGGGATAGTTTTGGGAGCTTGTCCAGGCGGGCTTTTGACGTCAGGCTGTCTGGTCATCACAGGGGAAAATCACATGGTTCATTTCATTATTTGAATGACCAGCCTCTGGTTGTTCAGAACAGCCAATGGGCTAACCTCCCTCCAGAGCTGCTTTATGATATAATTAGAAGGTTGGAAGAGAGTGAAATCACTTGGCCTGCTCGAAAGAATGTTGTTGCATGCGCTGAGGTTTGCAGGTCTTGGAGGAGTATGTGTAAGGAAATTGTTAGAAATCCAGAGTTTTGCGGGAAGCTTACTTTTCCAGTTTCCCTTAAACAGGTAAACTGCCTTTTGTTTTTTCTCCTTATTTTTTTTTTGTCTGAATGGCATGAGGACATGTGATATTTCGATCTATTTTTGAAATCATTTTATTCCAAAATTCACCACTAATTTGTGCGATTTATGCTTTGACGTAAGGATAAAATTTGCATTGAAAGAATAGAGTATGAACATTGTTCGCAACAGTTACTGAATGTTAATTTTTTGCCTTTTCAGCCAGGACCTCGTGATGGAACCATTCAGTGCTTCATCAAAAGGGATAAATCAAATTTAACTTATCATCTCTTCCTGTGTCTTAGCCCCAGTAAGCATTTTGTTCGAACCTTTTCGTAGGCTTATGTCTCTTGATATATATGGTTTGTTATTTTTTCTTTTATCTTAATTTTACAATGTGGGCAGTTTATTCCTTTCAATCGTAGCATATTGGTTAAATAGGATGAATAAATGCATACTAATTTGGTAGGACTTTGTTAGTCTGATTTTTCCATTTCTAAGTTTTAATGTCACATCCCATCGTGGAAGGATTGATCAACCCTTCCTAGGATGGATAGTGACCAAACTAAATAGAACTTACCCATAAATTATAAGAATGTAAATAAATAAATTGAATCAAACCTATTTTATTTTGCAAACTAAAAGGTCAAATACACGTCCCATGCATACACAACTAGAGTTTGACACTTTGCAACCAGTTTTACATGCTTTGCATTTATATTATAACATTACACTCCTTCATCAACCCTTAATATCATCTTATCCCTGCTAGATTTTGTAGTTGACCCATCTCTAACTTGGAACACAAGAAAACGGGGGATGAGCTAGCACGCTCAGTTACTATACACAATTAATAAACAAAAAAAAATGTCGTACAACAGTTATGGACCAAGCACTTTACACTGTTTGATAAAAAAAAAAGCACTTTACACTGAAACTAAGTTGATAAAAGATTTGCATACAATGTTTTTATAACCATTATTATAAGCTAATTCTTAGTTAATAAAACTTGTCAAACCAGAACAATTCATAGTACACATATTGGGTCATNAGAAGTAAGATTAATTTGTGGCGTGGAAGCCTTATCCAGGTTTCTTGTTTTAATTCCTTAAATTCACTGTTTAGTCAGGCAGAGTGAAACATATGAGGTGATTTGGGTTGTCATTCTCAGTTAGGTGGTATTAATACTTGTACAATTGTCAAAAGCTACTGGACTAGGTTGGAAATTTAGTCTGTTCGAATTATAGCTGTTGCATTGGCTAACCAAGCTGTGTTTGAAGCGAAGTGTTTCTGTCCATATGCTTGAGCATGGTGCTAAGCCCTGAAGGGCATGTTCGGTCAGGATATCAAGGGGTGAGATTGGGCTAAATTAGTTCAATGGTAACTTAATACCATATTTTGATCGTCATATAGGGCCTGTCTTATAACAGGGGTTAGACTGACCAAACATGACTAAATAGCTATGAGGAGCGAGAACGACAAGAGTGCCCTTTACAGAAGATTTTGGATGGAATTGGATGCGGATTGCCCTTCAAATTGATACCATGCATGATGCATCAATACCTGGTCCAAACACGTTCTATTATAGCAATGGACTTGCACTTTATCCTACCCTTGATCCAAACATGGTATACATGGGATAGGATGAAATGGTATACCCATTATTACCATAGTTGCATTGGATTGGGATGTCCATTTCGTACACGAATCAACCAACCCTATATATATAGAAAATTAAATTTACCAAGTGTTGCACAAGATGCTAATATACGCATCTATGTGTAGTCAAAGTAACAATAATGATCTTCAAGTTTGCAAATTTTATTGTCATAGATTTTACTGTACAACTTGGTTGGAGGGATAATTGTCTAAATTTGTCTAAACAACACGAAATTTTAAATGCAACAAGCGTCATAATTGAATAAGTTTTGGATGCAGTATACACACTGGTCCAATCAATAATCTTACATTTTATTGGGAGTAATATTCAAAATACCAATAAAGGCAAAGAACTCCTCGTGAATTTTAGATGTCCTACACTTGCTTATTTTTGGTGGTATAAGGACATCTATCTCACCAAAGTTACGATTAGTCAAGATGCTAATTGTAATTTTTGAAAAGAAAAGTTTATTTTTAGTCTTCTTTCTTTGTTTACAGAAAAAATGAGAATAAGACTTAGAAATAAAAATGGAGGAATGATTATTGTTTAGAATCAGTATACCTATGGTGAATTAGTCAGTGAATTCATCAAATGAAGGTTTTGCTTTATGCAATGATCTTAATCTTAAAGTCCAACTCAAAAGACAACGCCTAACTAGAAAAAAAGAGTTAGGTGAATTTTATGTTCAATTTGCTTGCTATCTTGATCTAAGTCTTTTCACAAAAATCAAGTCTAATAAAACTAAAAAATATTTAAGAAAAGAAAATATGAGGACAATGTTTCTTTTTATAAATAAAGAAAAAAATTCAAGAAAAAATCTTCTCAAAAGAAAAATAATAAAGAAATTAAATGCTACAAATGTAGCAAATCTGGATATTATGCCAATAAATGTTTAACCAAACAAAAAATTAATGAGATTATTCAAGATGATGATCTCAAAGATCAATTATGTAAAATTTTACTCAATGACACAGAAGACTCTTATTCTTCTTTGCCTTCAAGATGATGAGGTATTTGAAATCAATTAAACCACTTCATCAAATAGTCAAAGTGATAATGATCATAATAATTGTTCTTCTTCATATCAAGCTCAACAAAACTATTGCACAACTATACCTGACATGAATGGATTGAGTTTTAATATTCTTTCAAAATCTCAATCCATGGTTTTAGATATAATTGATCAAATTGTTGATTCAATAGCTAAAACACAAGTTATTGAAAAATATTTAAAAACAGCTAAAGAAGAACAATTAAAGAAACATTCTAAAAAGCTGTCTCTAGTTAAATCATTTTTTTTACAAGAAATTTTAAATAGTTTTGATTTTGAATCTTCTTCAAAGAAAGAAATCACAATTAATGATCTTAAATATGAGATCAATCAATTAAAATCCGAAATTAGAAATCTTAAAAGAAGATTATATTCTCTTGAGAATTCTGAACAATCTCAAACTAAAGATCCACAAATTTCTGGAGAAAAATATCAATATATTTTCTCCTTGACCAAATTACATATAAAAATGTTTTGTTGAAATTACATTGGTAATCAAATGTTTAAAATATTGATTAATTGATTTTGAAAAGATGAGTATATCATCAATATAAACAATAGAAAATATAGTATAAGGAGTAAATATATCATTCATGATATTTTGAAATTCTGAATGAGCATTTTCTATGCCAAAGGGCATAATATTCTATTCATAGTGTCCAAAAAAAACTGTGAATGCAGTTTTATACAGATCAATTTTATTAATCTAAATCTGCCAAAATTCATATTTTAAATCAAAATTATAAAAGATTATAGTATCATGTAATTGAGTTAATAATTTTTTTTTATTTGGAATTGGATATCTTATCCATTATAAAACCTTGTTTAAAGTTTTGTAATTGATAACTAAACAAGTATTCCTCTTTCTTTTTTGGCATTTTTATTTACATAAAAAATTGCACAACTTCAGGGAGAATGACTCTTTCTTATCAATGATTTTTCTAATAAAGATTGGATTCTCTTGTTTACAGAGCTTCAAATATTTTTTCCTTCAAGATTTTTAGATTACCCTGAAATTTAGGATTTTTCCAATTGATTTGGAATGGTCATAATTTTGACTTCTTTGTAAATAAAATTAATTTATTTTGCTTTGAAAATTGAATTTTTCTTGATTTGATTCAAAATCTTTGTTTCTGGTTTAGTAATAAAAACAAAAACAATTTGTTTATTGTTCAAAAAAGTAATGATTCTTTGAATCAATTGTATTTAGTTCAAAAGGAGCAAAAAATTTAGATATTGGATTAGCAATTAGATCTAAAATCATGTAATGAGATTTTGAAAGAACATTAATATTCAATCGGTTCATGTCAAGTATAATTGTGTAATAGTTTTGTTGAGTTTGACATGAAGAAAAGCAATTAATGTGATCATTATCACTTTGACAATTTGATAAAGTGGTTGAATTGATTTCAAATACCTCATCATCTTCTGAAGACAAATAAGAATAAGAGTTTTTTGTGTTATTGAGTAAAATTTTGCATAATTGATCTCTGAGATTATGATCTTGAATAATATCATTATTTTTTTGTTTGGTTAAACATTTATTTGGCATAATGGTTAGCTTTGTCACATTTGTAGCATTTAATTTCTTTATTATTATTCTTTCAAGAAGATTTCTTCTTACCTGCCCTCCTTGTGCCTTGGTGGTTAGGGATCTGCAATTCTCACCGTAAGGTCAGGGGTTCACGGGTTGGTAGAGAGAGGAGAAGAACATTTCTTCTTGATTTTTTTGTTTTTATAATTCATATTTTTTCTTTTTTCTTTTCTTATTAAATTTGGAATATTGTTTAGTCTTATTATACTTAATTTTTGTGGAAGGACTTGGATCAAGATAGTAACCAAATTGATCACAAAATCTTCCTAACTTTTTTCTTCCAGTTTGGCGGTGAACTTTAAGATTAAGATTATTGCATAAGTCAAATATTTATCGATGTATTTATTGACTAGTTCACCATAGGTGTGCTAATTCCAAGGAATAATCATTCTTTCATTTTTATTTCTAACTCTTATTCTCAATTTATCTGCAAAGAAGGAAGACTATAAATAACCTTCTTTTCAAAAACCACTATTAACATCATGTCTCACTATGACTCTGGTGTTATGAAGCACAGATACTTCGTTGAAGTTGACGTACACATATCGGATACGATAATCATCGGATATTCGAAGATACGTATTGAATACACCTTCTACGTATCCGATAATAATTAAATATTAGGTTACTTCACAGATACTTTTGTGGCTGAGCAACATATATAATTTTTAAGTTGAACATTTAACATATCTTTTCAAATTCACATACCATTCAATACATTAAAAATTTATATTACTTCGATGGCTCATAAGTGTTTCTTAAATATTATTTATAATTATATGTCAAAAGAGTATAAAATAAAGGTATTACATTATAACCTTAGCAAAAATTACTTCTAAATACTATGTAAATATTAGTTTTGATTCCTTTAATTAGTCACTTCACTTTGTAAATATACTCCAGAGATACGATATATATTTTCTTAAAATTAAAAAGAATTACTAATTTTTCTTATTGTATGTGAAAAAACTATCAAAATATATAAGTATTAAGCTGGTTGAAAATAATAAAAATATTAAATATATTTTATTATAGCCGTATTTTTGTTGTATCCATATCCTATTTTTTTAAACTTTGTCGTATCGCCATATTCGTATCGTATCGTACTCGTATTCCGTATCCATACTTCATAGCTTTGGTGAGATAGATGTCCTTATATCACCTAAAATGAGTAAGTGTAGGACTCCTAAGATTCATGAGGAGTTCTTTACCTTTTATCGGTATTTTGAATATTACTTCTAATAAAATGTAAGATTATTGATTTGATCGGTTTGTATACTGCATCTGAAACTTGTTCAATTATGACCTGCATTTGGTCATTCTGAGATTGAACAATTCTGGTGGCATTTAAAACTTCGTGTTGTTGGGATAAATTTAAACAGTTATCCCACCAACCTTTAAGTTGTCCAGTAAAACCTGTGATAATAAAATTTGTAACTTGGAGATCATTATTGTTATTTTGTCTACACATAGATACGTACATTAACATCCTGTGCAACACTTGGTAAATTTAATATCTAAAAAAGCTATCAATATTTCATTCATAAATAGCTTTTTCACTGCATTCCCATTGAGATGTGAAGAAAGTTTCTTCATAAAGAATATCATATGTCTCAGGATAATATGACCTGGTTGGTGCAGTATTTGTCCTTAATTTGGATTTTAACCTAATTTTATTAATTTCATTCAATTGTTACATATCAAGCAACGAATTTTGGAAATGTTGAATTTTATTTAATTCTAAATCTTAAGCTTCAGAGTCAAAATTATTTTCTACTTGAGNGCAACGAATTTTGGAAATGTTGAATTTTATTTAATTCTAAATCTTAAGCTTCAGAGTCAAAATTATTTTCTACTTGAGATAAAACATTAATTTTATTAGTCATTGACTTTTTTGTTTATCATCTGATTTTTTATTAGTTGATTTAATATTTAGACTCATTAGTTTGTCTAGCAATGCATTTAAAAACTCATCAATTTTTCCAAGATTTATTTTAAATCCTTTAGAATCTGATGGTGGTTTGATATTTACTGCTTCTAAAGCAAATGATTTTAGAGGCGGTGTAGTTATTGTTTTTGGAGATTTTTCTAAAGAATTTTCAATTTTTATTAATTGTTTATCAATTGTTTGTAAACAAATATTTGTATAATTATTTTGTTTAAATTTTTTTAAAATCTTCTTGAGATTTTGGGCTAATGAAAACTAAAGCTTCCAAAACTATTTTTTCATTATCATCATTGTTAATTTACCTGAGAAGAACCATTGGAGGGTGAATTGAACTGAGAATTTTACTTTCTTCAATATTCTATTATTTATAAAATTGTTCAAGTGTATTGACATGAGCAGATTTTGGATTTTTATAAAACGTTAAAAACCATTGAACAGAAGGATGACTTCTTCAATCAATTCTATTTAATTGTGGAATTGATTTTTGTAACTCTTTTTTATTAAAAGAGTCAAAATACCAATCACGAAATTCCTTATATTTAGGAAGACTAAGCTGGAAGGCAGTTGATTTTCTATTTGATGGGCCCAGTCCGGACCAGACCCAAATCACAGATGCAGACTTTTTGATGGGCCTAGTCTAAACTAGACCCAGATCACAGATGCATACCAGCCTCAGATCACAGATGCAAAACAACAAAAGCTCATCACAATTTCAATTAGGCCAAACACACCGCCTTGGAAGGTCAGTCTATTACTAGCATAGGGATCTTCATCTTAGGAAGGGAATCATGGAACGCAATCACCTTGCCCGTTACGAGGATGACGTTGAACCACCCCACCCCCCCTAATGGTGCCTCAATCAAGGCTCTCTCGGAGCCCTTGTGAAATTCTCTTCGCTTATAAATTGTAAGCCCTGCCTACACGTGGGGGGCATCATACAAATCTCAGTACTCTTCACACCTTTTGAGTAATAAGATTCTTCGGCCACCATAGTTATTCTTCGTGTAGTAGGTCACTCAGACCGAACCACTTAATCTGTGTNCATTCTTCGTGTAGTAGGTCACTCAGACCGAACTACTTAATCTGTGTATTTTATTGTGTTTAACATACCCTATCACATACACCACTACACCTTGGATTGAGTTTGTATAAACACATTTTGTGCATCATCACTATCAACTTTAAATGGTTGTAGATTCATATAGGAAACTCCATTTCAAATTAGGTTGGTTCGAATTCTCCCATATCAAAAACATTCTCATTGTCCTGATGACTAGGATGATAAATTCCATGTGGAATATTTTGCCTAGAAAGTCTAACACCTTCTAAGATTAAATGTTCTTTTCCTTTGATTTCTAAGGAACAAATTTCTTAGAAGAGGAAGAAGATAGATTAGTTACTTATAGAGATCGAAAATAGATTGAATTAACTTAAATTAAAGAATTGAATTTTATTATTTGTTTTAGTATTATTATATTAGTTAGATAATATTTGTTTGACTTGGAGTATTAGTTAGAATTTGATTAAGAAATTATTATATAGTTTTAGTAGGATAGGAATTTAAGAGTTTGATTATAAAATTATTTAATTTTATTAGAATAAAAATTTTTATTTGTATTTTGTGACCTAATTCTAGCGAGAGTTTGGTATCTCTCCTTATTCTCTATTCTCTTATTTCTTTCTCTTTCATCCTACATCAGTTTGGTATTAGAGCCAAGGAGAATTGATAGAGATCGAAAAATGATTGGATGAGNCTAGCGAGAGTTTGGTATCTCTCCTTATTCTCTATTCTCTTATTTCTTTCTCTTTCATCCTACATCAGTTTGGTATTAGAGCCAAGGAGAATTGATAGAGATCGAAAAATGATTGGATGAGTTTAAATTAAAAAATTAAATTTTGTTATTTGTTTTAGTATTATTATATTAGTTAGGTAATATTTATTTGACTAGGAGTATTAGTTAGAATTTGATTATGAAATTATTATAGAGTTTTAATTGAAAATTTGAATTTTATTATTTGTTTTAGTATTATTATATGAGTTAAGGTAATATTTGTTTGATTAGAAGTATTAGTTGGAAATTGATTAGGAAATTATTATAAAGTCTTAGTAGGATAGGAATGTAAGAGTTTGATTATGAAACTATTTTAGAATTTTATTAGGATTATAGTTTTATTTCGGTAGGAGACTTAACCTATAAATATTGATGTATCCTTACTATTTTCATTAGATAGAGATTATNTTTTATTTCGGTAGGAGACTTAACCTATAAATATTGATGTATCCTTACTATTTTCATTAGATAGAGATTATTAATAAGAATTGAGTCTTCACTGCATAGATTTGTATGTTTCTTGACCTAATTCTTACAAGGGTTTGGTATCTCCACTTCTTCTTTTTTATTCTCTTATTTCTTCCCTTTTCTTGAAAGTCCTTCAATATTTAATCGGGAAACCCGATCAAAAGTAAATTGAATTTGTACATCCTTTTTTGGGGTTTGTGAAATTTGATTAATTTTTCTATTAATCAAATTTGATTAATTTGAAAGGAAGTACATATTGTAGATTCCATGATTCTGAAAAAGTAATGTTTTCCCATATAATAGCTCTATTCTGAGTAATTCTATTTTTTATATAATTTGTTTTAATTAAAGTAGTAGTACATTTTTTATTGTGGTACTTGGAATTTGGAGTTAAGGTATTCATTACCTTATAGTGAATTCTATAAGCTATATTGATGGGTTCAGTACCATCCATATAGTTATAGTTGGAAGTTGGGATATTTAAAGTTAAAACTTCCATAATATTTTTTACAGATAGTGATAAATTTGGAAAACAATTAAAATAAACAGAGTCAGAACTAAGATTAGACTCCATAACTCATTAAAGATTGTTGAAAATCAAGAAATTTAGCATCTCTTAATGCTAAAATAAGACTCCATAACTCCCTTTAGAGATTGTTGAAAATCAAGACAATTAGCATCTCTTAATTCTAAAATAAAACTTGTACTGGTTCCCAAAAGGTTGAAGGTTTTAAATCAACCTACACTAAACCAATATGGATATGGAAACAGAAGCCGATTCTCTTTTTTTTTTGCTTCTTGTTCATCCATCAATTATAGTATATATGTCAGTTTTATGTCATGCACTGCCTGCTTTGATTGTTAACTAGCTTTACCCTTGCGCTATTTGATGAATAATTGCTTTTGATACTGCAACTACATCATGATGTGCAGTATAGAAGTCTTATTTGCTGCAAATGGATGTACTGATGTGTTTGTGTTGTGATCCTACTTACCAGCTTTGCTTGTCGAAAATGGGAAGTTTCTTCTCTCTGCAAAAAGAACTCGGCGAACCACTTGCACAGAGTACGTTATCTCAATGGATGCTGATCACATTTCAAGATCAAGCAGTACTTATATTGGAAAGTTGAGGTAAGAAATTAGAGATCGAAGCAAATTTACAATGTCCATTTATTTTCATTCTTTTTTTTGGATAGAAAACAAAACATTTATACAAAAATTTCACCATGGTACTAAAAAACTAACATCTCTTTAGGCATCACCATTCTACACTAATTTGAACTTCAGGAAAAACTTCTCACCAAATCAAAAAAATGTTTTAGCTGTAAGAAATGATTGACATTTGTCAGAATGAACGATGTACCTTGTCAAGGTTTGACATCCAATATTTGAGCAGCAGACTTGTAACTGTCATTGGGATGTTTCAAGTCTATTATGTGCATGTTTGTTTTAATTTTCTCCATTGTCCTATGTATTCAAGGTGATTCAAGTCTATACTGTGCATGTTTGTTTTAATTCTGTGTTGTCCTATGTATTCAAGGTGATCTATGCATAGTCATTCTAGCTCCATGCACATTGTCGTTATTTAATTTATATGTCCTGAAATGAGTGAAATACCACAGATGAAGGCTAGAAATTTTTTGGTAGTTATGGTTCTTATTTGTCTTTTTTGCTTACTTGCTTGTCCATTTGCTTCTTCAATTTTTTTCAGCCTTGGAGGACAAATGTTTCTTCAATTTGGTGATGCATGAAGTCCTCATCTGTTAAATTTGGCTTGAAATTCTATTTTATTTACAAAGAAATCAATTTTTATTAATTATTGATCAAATTTTATTACTATTCTCAGATCAAATTTCCTCGGCACAAAATTCATAATATATGACACTCAGCCTCCATATACTGGTGGTGCCCATATATCCCAACCTGGCCGGACAAGCCGTAGATTCCATTCTAAAAAAGTGTCCCCAAGAGTCCCAACCGGCAGCTACGACATAGCCCAGATCACATATGAGCTGAATGTGCTTGGCACACGAGGTCCACGAAGGATGCACTGCATCATGCACTCGATCCCCTTCTCAGCACTTGATGCAGGTGGTGCAGTGCCTGGCCAACCAGAGCTTCTACCCCGTTCTCTTGAGGACTCATTTCGCAGCATTTCCTTCTCAAAGTCTCTTGACCACTCAGTCGAGTTTAGCAGTTCACGATTTTCTGAAATTAGTGGATCTACAATAATGGAGGACAAGGATGGGAAGCCAAGACCCTTAGTTCTCAAAAACAAGTCCCCGAGATGGCATGAACAGTTGCAGTGTTGGTGCCTGAATTTTCGAGGACGAGTGACTGTTGCTTCTGTCAAGAACTTCCAGTTGATTGCCGCCCCACCGCCAGTTGCTCAAGCACAACCAACTTCTCAACCAGCAGCCCAACCAGAGCTTGACAAAGTCATCCTCCAGTTTGGCAAGGTTGGCAAAGATATTTTTACAATGGATTATCGATATCCCTTATCGGCATTTCAAGCTTTTGCCATCTGCTTGAGCAGCTTTGACACCAAATTGGCTTGTGAATAGAAAGAGAAACATAAGCACTAGGGTGGTAAGAAAAGAGACATAGAAAGTATATATAGCAATGGCATTGCTGCCTTTGTTTTATGTTGTTGTTTTATCTTCTTCCCTTGCTCACTTTGTAGAATAGGAGATTGTTGTTGATCTGACTATGTTGTTGTAGAAGTCAATTTCTAAGTGACCCTGTTCTGATCACAGGCCTCACACCATTGCAAACTCAAAATCTTCTAATTTATCTCTCTCTTCATTTTCAGTTTCTTTTTGTGGTTGCCTTTTATTTGTTGGCCTCACTGGTACTCCAAATTATTCCTTCCCCTTTTTCTTCTTTCCGATAACTTAGTACAGGAGAGAGAGAGCCTGGTCCGATAACACACTTGGCCATCAAAGATTTCAATGGGAAAACAAGTGGCAAACGCCCAAAATTGACAGTTATGTTGAATAGTTAAAACAATATACATAACTAACTGCCTTTAAAAATTGTAAAAATAACGAGAATGTCATCACATAATTAAAACACTTATTCTAAAAATTTATATCATCATAATGGAACTTTTTTTTTATAAAACACAAATCGTAAGACAGGTACACAGTTTGTCAAACATGTATATTAATATACTATTAATAAAACAGGTCGTCAAACAACTACACTAAAATACAATTAATAAACAGATCATCAAATAGATACACAGATTGTTATACAGATATACTAACGCTCTCTATAAATACAGATTATCAAACAGGTACACCAAAATATAGTTAATAAACACAGATCATTAGACAAGTACACAGATCCTCAATAACAAACACACAAAAAATAACTCAAAAAACACATCAAAAGTTTCCTATTTCACAAAGTGGCC